TAAGTACAGGGTGAAACAGGAATTACCAGCCAATAATAGATAAACACAAAATATTACAGTTGGAATCTCACTGTATTTAGAACTTGGTTATAAATACTACCTTCCTATGTCTGTTGAAATACTAGACATTAAAAAAAAAACAAATACAAAGAAAAAACTTTAAAAAAAAAGAAGTATGGATGGCTAATATCAATCATTCAAAAACAATGCAAACAAGATAGTAGGGATTCCTTTTGAAGGATTGATATTAACCATCTCTACATTTACTTCTTTTTTTGAAAAGGTTTTTTTACTTTACTTGTCTATGCATTTCCTGCAAAAAAATATTTTTATTCTAGTGAAAAAAACTATTTTTAGAGATAATCTGAACATTTCATACTTGGCAAATTGTTGATGTCAAAACAACCAAATGGTTGCCATTTTGTTTTTAAAGTATGCAGTAATCCCTCACTGATTTCACGTAAATCAAACAAATTTATATTGTCATGCTTTTACCACAATGTGACCATTCATATAAATAGTCCTTTAGCCAGCTGTTCTTTTGTAAAGTCTAGTGATAACAGTAATACTTTTATTTTTTATATCTAAAACATATGTATGTTGACTGAACATGACAAAAATAAAAATAATATTCAAAAAATAAGAATTTGAGTCATCAGAATATTTTTTTTATTGCCTACTGTATGTAATTAACTCAGTTTATCTGATGATTTTTCAAAGAAAATATCTGTAGGTTTCAAACATATATAATTGAACATGTAAGCACTTTCACAACTTAAAGAATGTCTAATCAAACTATAAAAAAATCCAAGTTCTGTGATTTGTTCATAAGTCTTCAAAACTTCCCACTGAATGCCTTTGGTCAATGCTTAACAATTTTAAAAAGAAACATAAAGTACAACTCGGTTTCATTTCAAACTACCTTATTTATTATAATATGTGAAAACTCTAATTTTTGCTCTATCCAATCATATTATAACTAGTTATAGCTGTTTCAAAAGCTATGTTTCATTAGTAAATGACTAAACCACTCGATGTGACAACAGGAAGAGCCAAGAGAAATGCTTGAAAATAAAGAAACAGATATTAGATTCTCATGAGAATATACTTTTTTAGCAACTTATTCTTTAGGATGGGAAGAAAATTCTTAAAAAAATATGAAGCTTACAGGCAAGACTCCTTGGAGCTATGTAGAAATGAAAACTTTAACATGTCTTCAATTGTTCTTTGTGAATTAACCTAAATAAATGTTTCAAATTACAAAATGTTGATTCTAAAACATTTTATGAGTTAAAAATTATTGAAATAGGGTTAGAATTACTATTTTTTACTTGAATTTTTAAAGTTGATATGCATATGTTCTCTCAACACCTTAAAGATGTATACACCAGTCTGGATAGGTTTAAAGGGTCTCAACATTTTAAAGATGTTAACTGGTATGGATAGGTTTAAAGGATCTAGACATCTTAATTGGCTACTAATTTTTATTGTAGGTAACATTGCTCTTCTCATATTTCATTCGAAAAATAAAACTAGTGGATGAAATTATTTAAAATTTGACAAGAAAATTCCTAAGAGTATGTAGTTCAGAAAAATTAAATATTTAATTTATATTTTTTTTCTACTATATCTAATAAAAAATTAATTATTTAATGTAGTTATTTGCACTCACACTTCAAATTGTTCACCTGCAAGGTGATTTTTATATGAAGTATAAAAATACTACTTTTTATCCTACAATTTTCATATTTCATTTGTATAATTTCTAGAACCTCATAAATGAATATCAAAAGTTTTTAAAGGTAAATATTTATATTTTATTTTCCATTTTCTCTACTATATCCCTAACTATCTATTATCATCAACATACAGTGCAATGAAATATTTAAAAATTAACAAATGGATAGGACCCTTGAGGGACCTTAAAGGAAGGCTAGTATTTGATGATTATGAGATGGCTGGGTTATTAAATTATACTTTTTCTTTGATTTCTATTAATGAAGATTTAAGGAGTATTCCACATCTTGATCAGTTAATAAATGGAAACGAGATCAAACAAGATGACTG